GAGAGCCAAAGACAGGACTTGTAGGATTTGAAGGGAAATTATGTCTTTTACTGGCTATTTTATAAAGACAGCATCTGGCTTACTGTGATGAGCTCTTGTAGAAACATCATGTGACCCATGTGGCCTGAGTTTGTCACCGTGACCTCAGTATGGACACGTCTCTGAGGCTGTGTGTAGGAAAGCAATCACAGAAGGGTGGAGAGACAGAGCATGAGAAGTCCAGAACTACAAATAGGATACATGAGCCGGTGGCTCAGGCAGCCTCAGACAAACTCCTATTGCGTTGCTGGCTCCTCTACAGGTTATACCATGGTTTCCTGGAATGTTCATTGAACAGCTGAAGAAAAAAATGAACCTACTTTATAGGTAAGTTTGCATATTGGCCCACAGAATAAAATCCAAGACTGCTTTGTAGTCCTCCTGGCCCTAAGCTCCAAGAATAATGACTCCTGAGACTCAAAATATATTACAAATACCTAGGTCACATAGCTAGGGTCTTCTCTGACTAGCTCATAACAAAAAATAACTTATTTATAATAGGTCTGTGTCACTTTAAGACAGTCACTAGTGGCTGGATGGTCAAAGGGAACAAGTAGGGAAGGTTGTTGGAGGGACACGGGGATGGATCTCTTTGAAGACATTGGTGTCTCCTGCCAATGTCTACCTCTGTGAACCCTCTTAAGAACAAGGACAAACATACTGTGGGAGGGGCTAAGCTGTTTCCTCAGTCACTACAATGATTTTAGAGAGTGGGTATCATCACACTGAGATGCCCAAGTGGATACTCTTCATAAAGGTTGCAACAATATTCAGAGAAGCATGGGTCCACCACAACAGCTGTATGGAAAGCGACAGAATTTAGTGTCAACATCAAATTCTGTATTACTTAGAAAGTTTTAGCTGTAGTAAGTAATTGAAAAGCCAAATTGAAGCTTTTTTTTTCTTTATTAATTACACTTTATTCACTTTGTATCCCCCCCTGTGGTTCTCTCCCTCCTCCCGTCCCAATCCCTCCCTTCCTCCACCCTCTGCATGCATGCCCCTCACCAAGTCCACTGATAGGGGAGGTCTTCTTTTCCTTTCTTCTGATCCTAGTCAATTAGGTCTCATCAGGAGCAGCTACAGTGTCTTCTTCTGTGGCCTGGTAATGCTGCTTCCCCCTCAGGGGGAGGTAATTAAAGAGCAGTTCATGTCAGAGACAGTCCCTGTTCCTATTACAATGGAACCCACTTGGATAATGAACTGCCATGGGCTACATCTGTGCAGGGGTCTTAGGTTATCTCCATGCATAGTCCTTGGTTGGAGTATCAGTCTCAGGAAAGACCCCTGCGCTCAGATTTTTGATTCTGTTGCTCTCCTTATGGAGTTCCTGTCCTCTCCAGATCTTACTCTTTCCCACTTCTTTTATAAGATTCCCTGCACTCTGCCCAAAGGTTGCCCATAAGTCTCAGCATCTACATTGACAGTCTGCAGGGCAGAGCCTTTCAGAGGTCCTCTGTGTCAGGTTCCTGACTTGTTCCCTCTTTTCTCCTTCTTCTGATGTCCAGCCTCTTTGCCTTTCTGGATAGGAACTGAGCATTTTAGCAAGAGTCCTCCCTCTTAATTAGTTTCTTTAGGTGTACAGATTTTAGTAGGTTTATCCTATATTATATGTCTATATGAGTGAGTATATACCGTGTGCATCTTTCTGCTTCTGGGATACCTCACTCAGGATGATCTTTTCCAGATCTCACCATTTACCTGCAAATGTCATGATTTCCTTGTTTTTTATTGCTGAGTAATATTCCATTGTGTAGATATACCACAATTTGTGCATCCATTCCTCCACTGAGGGGCATCTGGGTTGTTTCCAGCTTCTGGCTATTACAAATAAGGCTGCTACAAACATGGTTGAGCAAATGTCCTTATTGTGTACTTGAGAATCTTTTGGCTATATGCCTAGGAGTGGTATAGCTGGATCTTGAGGAAGTGCTATTCCTAGTTGTCTGAGAAAGCGCCAGATTGCTTTCCAGAGTGGTTGTACAAGTTTACATTCCCACCAGCAGTGGAGGAGGGTTCCCCTTTCTCCACAACCTCTCCAGCATGTGTTGTCTCTTGAGTTTTTGATCTTAGCCATTCTGATGGGTGAAAGGTGAAATCTTAGGGTCATTTTGATTTGAATTTCCCTGATGGCTAATGAGGTTGAGCATTTCTTTAAGTGTTTCTCTGCCATTCAATATTCCTCTGCAGAGAATTCTGTTTAGCTCTGTACCCCATTTTTTAATTGGATTACTTGATTTTTTGCTGTTTAACTTCTTTAGTTCTTTATATATACTGGATATTAGCCCTCTGTCAGATATAGGGTTGGTAAAGATCCTTTCCCAATCTGTAGGTTGTCGTTTTGTTCTGAGGACAGTGTCTTTGCTTTACAGAAGCTTTTCTGTTTCATGAGGTTCCATTTATTGATTGTTGCTCTTAGAGCCTGTGCTGCTGGTGTTCTGTTCAGGAAGATGTCTCCTGTGCCAATGAGTTCAAGGGTATTCCCCACTTTTTCTTCTAAGTGGTTTAGTGTGTCTGGTTTTATGTTGAGGTCTTTGATCCACTTGGACTTTAGTTTTGTGCATGGTGATAAGTATGGATCTATTTGCATTTTTCTACATGTAGACTTCCAGTTAGACCAGCACCATTTGTTGAAGATGCTGTCTTTTTTCCATTGAATGGATTTGGCATCTTTGTCAAAAATCAGGTGTCCATAAGTGTGTGGATTTATGTCAGGGTCTTCTATTTGATTCCATTGATCCACCAGTCTGTTTCTATGCCAGTACCATGTGGTTTTTAGCATTGTTAGTTAGAAAGTTTTAGCTGTAGTAATTGAAAAGCCAAATTGAAACCTAAAAAAAAAAAGTATTGTTCACCTAGATGAAAACTCCACAGTTACCTGTTACCAAGGTTGACTGATCCAGAATCCCATATAGTATGACTTAGAATATGACTTCTTCTTATAGATTTGTTACATTCTTGATGCTGACTCCATTTGAACACTTATTTTGTCCAATCAGGATTCTAAATTGGTTTTCAGGAGGACTGAGTTACATGCATCTTCATGTGTAAAGCAGGAAGGAGAGAATCTATGCCAGGATACTGAGAAAAAAAACTTTTTTTTCAACCACTCTGATTTGACTGCTTTAAGTGTGCTGGCTTCTAGCCATTCTCGACTGTAAACAGAGATGTATACCCTGACCGGTGCTCCCCATCAGGATCCAGCTGCAGCACAGGAGGCTGGTGCACCTAAATCCAAAGCTGAATGGAGGGATGGGGTAGCTTTCCATAAGCCATTCTTCAAGAAGGAAGGGAAACGGAAGCTATTAATAGGAATGTATTCATTACAGTTACATCCAGAGCCTGCTTTTTGTTTTAATTCTTCAGAACTGTAAGACTTTAACCCAAAACCTTGCATACTTTCTATATGTTATCTAACACGTTTTCAGAAAACAGCACAAAGGTTAAGCAAATCATTTTACTTCCTTGCCATTTTGTAAGGGATTGACTTTGCTGCCAAAGTGAATAAATATTGCTATCTCCAGAATTTTATTTTCTATTTAAAATAATGCCCATATCCCAAGAAAAATAAACCCTGATGACTCCTGAACTCAAACATACTCTTCAGTTGGCATGGTGGAAACATCACACACACACACACACACACACACACACACACACACACACACACACACGGTTTAAAAAAAATTTAAATAATCAGGCCACAAAAGTGTACACTGATGGAGAAGAGCCTGTCACAAGGCATGAGAGCCACCAGTGGATTGCATTCTCCAGCACAGTGTCAGGCTAAGGTTGTATTATTTATTCTCCTCTATGTAGACCAAGCTGGCCTCAAACTCAGAAATCTAATTGCCTCTTCTTCTGAGCGCTGGGATTAAAGGTGTGTGCCACCATGCCAGGTTTTACATTACAAATTTCCTAGAGCTCTTTCTCTGTCACTTCACTACAAACGACTGGTCTAACAGCATTTTACAGATAAAGGCACATAAGATAGGAGTGAAATTGTTTGTCTTAGGTCAAACAGTAAAACCAGAAAACCAGCATCTGAAGGGAGCCTGGTTCTCCAACCTGTGATGTCAACACACTGCAATGTCCTTTAGCCAGCTTCAATCTGCTGTCCTTCAGCCAGCTTAATTTCTGCTTCAGGGCCTCCGTCTTTCTTGCTCTCCTAACATGGCAATATCACTCACTGCAACTTTTCTTTTATAGCATAAAATACCCCCAAGTATATTATGCATATGTATTTCTTTTAGTGCTTACTATGCCTTCAGGGCCCAGCAGTCCTCCTGACGCAGAGGTGCCTCCATACTGGTAGCTGATGAGCGACAGAGCTCTTAAGGGCACTGTATTACATGTATGAAGTTCATGTACCAACTGAGAGCAGTAGTAACACATTTATTACGCAAGCTTTAATGCCTCAGAGGACAAGAAACTGTCTTATTAAGTTGAGGCCCACAGGAGGACTTAAATGATTGTTCCACTGCTAAAACTTTAATATCATAGTTTGCCTCTCCATACAGACACAAGTATCTGGGCAAATCCCATGAAAATTATAGTAAAATCCAGGACTATGAAATGCATAATTTATAAAACATTCTAAAATTTCCTTAACTGAGAGATCTGAATTTTAAATTATGTTTCTCATTGTTTAAATACTGCCGTAGGGTGTAGCTCCTAAACTACTAAACTCAGTGTATTTTATTCTATAACAAGAACTTGAGATATCCAAATAAAGTGTAGTTACAGTTAGGACTATCTTTAAAATAGTAATTTTGAAATTTCCAAGAATTCCTGGGAATACTGATTCACTGTTCCTGAATCTGAGTTGCATGCCAGGAATATGGAAATGCTGAAAACTTGCTATTTGTTACTGTTTGTCATGATTAAAAATATATCATTTTTGCTGAATAAACATACTTAAAAAATAAAGGTAAAGGATATTGTAATAAACACCATATCTGTAAATATAAATTATCTTTTGTTTTTTTATTTTAAGAGCAATGCCATTTCCAAAATATAAAACAATAGGCTTGTTTTCAAAGAACCCTATAAATATAGCTTTGTTTTATTTACAAAAAAAATAGTGCAATAGCACTGACAGTTTTTCAGAATAGTATTAGTCTAGCATCCTTTTGGGTTTAGTACCTGCAGACCTACAACGACACATAAATCAAATCAGTAATGGCCACAAACATGTAATTTGTATTTCAACCTGAATTTGAGCAACCAATGTAGACAAATCATTTATTTGGAATTTAGATCCACAAATCTAAAAATTAAGGGAAAAAAAGAATGCTTATTTCTATTCAGTTTTTCAAGAAACTCAAAGGAAACATTCCATCTCTCTGAGATGTGGGCCAGGCATTTCTGTTGAGTGATCTGTAACCACACATGCTGAAGAAAGGCTTCACAGCATCCTGGAAATTATATTCCTTCAGGGCATCACATTTGAAGGACCTTACACACTCCACCCACACACCAAGTTTATGGCCAAAAAACAAGGTCTGGGTTCAGAATCACACTGTCAATAATTAATGGAACAGCAAAAGGTACTAGGTATCTCTCAGACAGATACATACTTCTCCAATCTCTGTAGTTGGTGTGGTCCAATTAGATCAATGCTAAAGCCCTGTACTGTTTTCTAACAAAAATATCCCCATTCAAAATGGGGATTTGGATAACCCCTTCTTTATAAGTCCCCAAGTTTAATTGACCCTTGAAATACAGTTGTTCTTGTAAGAAGCCAGTTCCTTGCTGCTGCACATGGGTCAGTTTTAAAGCCAATCCAGGCAAGAGAGTTCAGAAAGAATATTCATCAAATTATTTACAAATTAACTTCTACTTGAACAATGAAATGGAAGATCTTGTACATTTTCACTGGTTATCAGTTTCAACATTATGCTGATGGCATCCACTCCACACAGAGGCAGCCAAGCTCCACACATATGCAGAAGCAGAGGGCAGAAAACATCACCATGGCTTGGCAGTCCTTTGACTTCCAACAGACAAACGTTGATTATGAGCTATGTTGCTTTGTAGTGTTCTTCTGAGTTTTGTTTTGAACACAACGGAGTATGTTGCTGCTTCAAGAAGATATACTGGAATCTTCTTTTAGCTTACTTTCTTTTCTCTAAGGTTATTTAAAAAGTGTGAAACATTTTCATAAACCACAAAGGTGATGCAGCAGGCTGGAGTCACTCTAATCAAATTGGGGGCAATTCCTTTGTAAAATCCACCGACACCTTCTTTCCTTTAAAGGAGGAACAGATAGACACACACTTAGTTTCCTAAGTAGCCCGTGTGAACACAGTAACAGGTCATTAGCACTGAGCACGGAGTAAGCACTCATGCCTCACCCTACTTACACATTGGTTAAAACCATGTGTGCGATGCCCTGAAGGAATATAATTTATGAGCCATTTATATGTCTTTTATAAACTGATGAAGAATGAGGGTAAAGACATCTCAAAATAGAACGATAGAGTACTGCATTTTTTTAGTAATGCATTCAGATGTTTTTAAGTCGATGACAATGCTGGAGACTTAACAGATCTAACTTGACCATCTCTCATGGCAACCAGGTGGTTCAGGCCTATCATCCTGGTACTCTGAGGGACAGGAGGGGTTGTTACAAGTCTAAAGTCTTTGTGAAGCTGGCTGGACTAGACACTAAGCACCATGCTGGTGGGAGCTATATCCCAAAGACTGCGTCTCTGACAGACATACTTGTTAGCAACCGGTATGTCCGTGATCTCAGAACTGACATAAATGTACAAAAAACTAAATGTAGGTCACATAAAACAAACTGTTACTTCCTTAATACCGAAAACAGGGAAGTTAGTAAGTTAATATGCAGATTATCAAACAAAATTTATTTTTTTAAATAATTAATTAACTTAGTTACTTTATATCCCTACTGCAGCTTCTCATCCCTCTTTTCCTCCTGCCCATCCCCTTCTCCTCCCTTTCTCCTCAGAAAAGGGGAGGCCTCCATGGATATCAACTAGCCTTGGCACATCAATTTGCAGTAAGATGATGTGCATCTTCTCCTGCTGAGGCTAGACAAAGGAAGCCCAGTAGGGGGAAAGAGTACCAAAAGCAGGCAAAAGGTCAGACACAGACTCTGCTCCCAGTTCAAACAGTGTTTCCTAAAGTAAACTAAATTTCAACAGTCCCTTCAGGCCCTTCAGAATTAAAAGAAATGCAAAGGAAGTCTATGTGCGATAACTTCGTTCTTCTCATATGTAGCCCCTTCTGCTTCCTCACAGAGACCAGCACTTGTAACATTCTGGGGCCTCTAGTAGATACAGAAATGCCTCGTTAAATGTATGTAATAGCTGTCTGACTTCATATTTACAATGCCAATATTCTGAGCCTTAACTCTGTGCTGATAAATTTTCAAAGCACCTTACTTCTGTTTCACATTTTTAAAATAAGAACTCTGTGTGCCCAAACAATCTAATTTTACAAATGAAGAAATGAAGCTTTAGAGACATTATTTACTGTGACAAATGTAGTGAACAGGAAAGTAAGGACAACCAACCTCGTGTTTTCCATAGCACCCTGGCCAGTCCTACAAAAACTAGTACAGAGTGGATAATCTAGGCATACTTATGAGTAATTCTGATGCTCCTATACTCTCTCACCTCCACGTCTTTATGATCACGTCCATCACACCACCATAAGACACATGCTGGTCCTGAAGACGGGCTCTCACAACCTGATACGGGTATGTTGCTGCTACAGCAAATATTTTGGATAGTGCTGCAACAGAGATATATTCTGCTGTGCTCTAAAATGAGAACATAAATAAGATTTCTTTAAAAGTAAAAATTACATAGAAAAAATCTAAATAAATATATAAAAAATACTGTTCCCTCTTTAACACAAATTAAAATTAACACTATTTAATATGGGGTTCTGTTTAACATTTGTGCCATCAGCTTATAAAATATTTAGCTGTTAGTTAAATTAGTGACATAATATTTATTATGATAGCAATATTGTCAAAGTAAACATATTTTTAAAAATGTCTACATATTTAGTGCCCATGAAAGTAAATGATGTTACTTTAAAAGAATTATCTTACCAGCTGGGCTTCTGGTAATCTATTGATGTGTTCATTGTACTTCAACTTTAGCAATTCATATGCCATAAACTGAAGAGCACCATGTGATGTTCCAAATAGCCCAGGGACAAATCCCTAAATGGAATGATAAAGAAATACAAAATTAAACAGCTTTCAATCAATGATATACTTAAAATATTTTTATATTTCTTTATGTAAATTCACCTAAGTTTTACCTAAATAACATTTTAATCTCTTAGTAAGTCATGTATATTAAATATACTATATTTATATTATAAATAATATTTACTATATTAATATATTATAAATTAAAAATATATACACTTAATACATACACATAACAAGGTTTTAAAAATAGTACTACCTTTTTTTAAAGCTGTTTGGATTTTCATAGGTTTTTTGGTTTTTTTAAAAACAGTATACAGATGAACATAAAAAAGATCCATACTAGCAAGAATTGTGGTTTGAATAGGTTGAATTTAGTAAAGAATATAAAACTAGTGATATTTCAAAGGATTGTGCAGATATTCTAAAAGAACAGAATAAGAAATCATGAAAGGAATTATAGAACTGAATAATATAATTGCAAATAAAATTGCCCACATACAAGTAATCTAAAACCTCAAGTTTATATGCTAGTGATTTTTAAACTATTACACAATTTTTTAAATACAAAGTAAAATTTAATACATTTATTTCAGTCTAAATATAATATTTTTTCTTTCTTTCCTTTCCCTCCTTCTCCCTCTCCTTTTCTCTCTCTTTACAGGATTTCTCTGTAAAGTCCTGGCTGTCTCAGAACTCACGCTGTAGTTGGCTTTGAACTTGAAGATCCTCCTGCCTCTGCCTCCCCTAGTGAGTGCTGGGATTAAAGGCGTACACCATCACACCCATTATATATATCCAGATGTATAGTATCTATACATCTATATTCTCATCTAGCTACCTACCTAACTAGCTACTTAGCTATTTAGTGAGGATAAACGAAAGAGAAAGGGCTGTGGCAGTTAAACCTCGCTGTCAGTACGACTGGGGAGATGGACTGTGGGTGTGTACACACAGCCTAGACACAGACACCCTTCCTGTGAGCTGGAGACCCGGAGCGTTCAGGTGGAAAAGGAGAGACCAGTGGAGCACCAGCATGCCTCTGTTTCCTAAGCATGGAGCTGCCCTGCCTGTCTACCACCAGAGCCTCACACCTCTGAAACGGCAAGCCATGAAGTTCCCCCCCTTTCTCTAGCTGTTTCTCTCACTGTGGCCACAGTGACACAAAAGTAACTAACAGCAAGATAAATCAGGGCAAGAGAAAAAGGTTCAGATCTTGCTGCCACTAGATTCACTAAATAGATACCTGACAAAGTTTTAGACCATTCTCAAATCAAAGTCAGGAAGATACAGCTTAAAGTACAATTTCAATATTATAATCAAGATTTCAGTTTTATTCAGTTGTTTGTTGCACAAGTTTGGTTTCTTTTTAGGACCAATTATAGGTCATTGAGAAGTGAAACAAAGGCGCTTCTTTGATGTACAAGACAACAAGAATCCAGTATGAAAAAAAAAAAAAGAATCCAGTATGGTGGCACATGCTTACCATTTCAGCATTCTATAGTCATAGATAGAAAGGGTTAGGGTTGAAGGCTAGCCTGGGCACATGCTTATTACTTTAGTATTCTAAAGACATAGACATAGATAAGAAGGTTTAGAGTTGAACTATATAGCAAGACTTTGTCTCAAAAATAGCGCAAATATAAAACCTAGTATTAATTACTATTCCCAGTTATTCAAATTGTATTCATGATAACTTGTTACCTTGTACAATCCACGCACTCCTTCATATTTATATATCTTCAGAAGGGCATCAAACATTCCTTTGTATTGTCTCTGTGAAGGGTTAACAACACCACCGTACTGCAACATAAGGCGAGTTTTTGTCACCCAAAATGGGTTTGTAATGCAGAGTGTCATGGCTCCTAAAACCATATTTAAAGATTAATTAGCAAAGAGGTACTGCTTCATGTAATCCAAATTAAAAACAGTTCATTAGATAAAGAACATGTGCAGTAAGCATAAAGAAGGCCCACTTGATCAAGATCTGAGGTATAACCAGGTATGGTGGTGTATACCTTTAATCCCAGAATGCAGGAGGCTGAGGCAGGCACATCTCTATGAGCTGAAGGCTAACCTGATCTACAGAGTGAGTAGATCACTCTGACAGCCCAGCATACACAGTAAATCCCTGTCTAAAAACAAAAATAAAATAAAACAACAAAACCACTAGGTATAGTAGGACATTACATTTAATTAAGGAAATGAGGGCAATGATATTCCAATCAACTGAGCATACATAGGTTTTCTTAGAGAATAAGCCATGAAGAGGCTGTATTTGGGGCAGTGGGATGTGAGGCACCGCCCAAGAGTCAAAAAGAATACATAAGCCAAAAAAGTTTCTCCTGTGGCCAGTGAGAGGTAAACTAAGAGATAAAATGTGAATTCGTTTCCCTGTAAGGACAGAGAAAGCTATCCAGACTCCTATATATTGTAGTGTGGGCAGAGGTGAGACCTTAGGAGTTGCATTTACCGCAGGAGCTGTGGTTTAGGGAGGAGGAAGCAGAAGTGTGGCTTCTCAAGCTCATGTACACGTGTCCACCCCAGACCCACCACAACCTGCCTCAGAGCCCTCAGGAGCGGTCACTCCCCCGGCAGTCCAACATGGCACCCTTTGTAATCTTTACATGTCGCTACAAACTTCAGCTGGTGACAAGTGGTGACGAAACAGCTGGGAGGTGGGGTCGGGAAGATCATCTCAAGGCTCACCCTGGCATATTATATATGATTCTATCTTTAAAAAAAACCTACCTCCTGCCCTACCAAAAAATAAATCTGGTCAAATTTCTCATTTATAAACATCAAATTCTATAGTGATTTGGGTCCTGCATATAGCTAAGTATATGAAAATAAGACAGTTTTTGCTTTAAAAGACTACTCTGTAAGCAAGAAGAAACCAAGTTACACAAGGAATCAGAATAGGCTTTATGCACACTGTGGCCTCATTGTTTTTCCTTGGTGGCACACATACTGAAACAAGAGAATAAAGTTACTAAGTTATATAATTTGAAAACACCATATCCAAATCATCTCAGAATAATTTTTCAGATATTATTTTACATTTATGAGTGTCTTCCCTGAACATGACGTACACATGTGCACCATGTGTATGTGTAGCGCCCTCAGAGGCCAGAAGAGGGTGTCAGATCCCCTGGCCTGGAGCTATGTGATGCCTGAGCCACCACGTGGGTGCTAGAAGTCCAACAAGGACCTCTGAAGAGCAGCCAGCGTCGTAAGTGCTGAGCCACCTCTGCACCTCAGCCAAATCATCACAGTCTAGGGACCCCTGAGCTTCTAATATTCAACAGGGAGCTGGGGGGGGGGGGAGTTAAAGAATAAAAATAAAAATCAAGCCTGGACGCAAAAGGCCAGAGGGAGATCTTTACTCAAATATACCCAAGCACCCCCACCTCACCCAAGAAATTCTGTTTGGAAGCTGATGTTATAAGCAGCCTTACCAGCTTCAGCAGCCGAGACAAGGTATTCTATTGGTTCTAGCTGTTCAGCTCTTCCCTCTGTCTTATAGGACTTGATGGCACTGTAACTAAAAATATTAAATACAAGCAAATTTAATTTAATTAAACATACAAGTTTAGTCTGAACATGACTCATAAAGCAGCAGTCCATTTTAAAGCATGATCTCCACAGTAAAAGTCAATATATAATGAAATCACAGATTACGACTCATTTAAGGGTAGGCAGAAATGGCTCATGGTGAGCATACCACCCTCCCCATAAATGAACACACCCAGCAATAGAGATGTGAGATATACTAATTACACCTTCAGCAATTAATAGCAACAGAAGAAAATGGGAGATGAAGATGCTGTGGCAATACAGACATTGGAAAGAAGGCAAACAAAGTCAAAGAAGGGGCACAGACAAACACATGTTCAGGAAGGGCATTCAGCTTTCTGATGGACAGAGGGGAACATAAGGCATTCAGAAACACAAACACACACACAGAAGTCCCTGTGTAGAAGGAGCTTTGACCTGGGCACTGAGACAGGTGCGGTTTAAACAGGGAAAGTAATACACAAGGGGAAAGTGATAGTGAGCGGGATGACACAATAAGGAATAAAAACCACAAGAGTGGCAGGTGGAGATTCGGGTGCTGTGCGGCAGAGAGCAGCACTAACTGGTGCTGAGCAGGAAAGATAAACCAGGCCTGCTTTTTGTTGTTTTGTAAACAAAATGTTTATTATGCGTATGCATGTGCATCTGTGTGCCCACAGCAGCTGCAGCTGCAATAACAGGCTGTTTTGAGCTGCTTAATGTGGGGCGAGAAGCAAGCTCTGCTCACTGGAAGATCAGCAAGCTGAGCCATCTCTCCACTCCCTATTTTGTTTCTTGAGGCAGGTCTGTTGGGGCTGATCTGGAGCCACTATGTACTCAAATGTTAATTGTGTGCTCCCCAAGATCCTTACAAGCAAATCCTCACTATCCAAAATGACACGGTATGAACCTTGTCTCCCAAATTATCCCTGACTGGCAAATAAATTTGCTTACACCTGGGGTGGGAAGGAGAGAGGTAGGTGGAGCCAAGGTTTGTGGGCTTTTGGGAGTCAGAGAAGGACCACAGAGAGAGTTGCAGAAGAGAGGAGCAAGGAGGAAGAAGGAGCACATCACCATGGGTTAGCATCAACTAGAAGCAGATGGCCAGGAGGAGCTTGCTCTGAGGACGGGCATGATGGAGAGAAGCAGCCCAAATGGAGACATGTGCAAGTATTTGGGATTCTTGGCTGGGGAATAGTCAAGATAGCTTGGAAGACTAATATCTGCCCAGCCCCAGGCATATTAAGGCTTATTAAAAAATCTAACAGGTTTCTGTGTTTTTATTCGTCTAACAGCGGGTTAAAGAACAACAACCATCTTAATTGCATGAACCAATATTAAATATTAATAATCTTTCTGCACAGGTCTTCTACACTCGCCATAAGTAAAGGGTGACCTTGAACTCCCAGTCTTTGTGCACCTATCTACCAAGTGCTGGGATTAGAAGTGTATCACCACAGCCCAACTTCCACTTTCCTCTTGAAAGATTTTGGTTGAAGAAACTTTTCCAACTTTACCCATAATATTTTATCAATGTTCTACTTACAATGTTCTATTGTAAGAAATTCTTATCACAAAATTCACAGAGCCTGTCCTTAGATACTCTTGGGAATATCTTCCACCCCTCTCTCACTCACACACACACAAAGAGCATATAAATTGAAGTTGTATAGATTAAATACTTTCCTTTACATGTAAAAGAAACTTTTATTCAACTGTCTCAGATTATTACTGCCTCTGTCTGCTAGCTGAGGCCTAGTCCTAGTAAACAACTGCTTTATTTACTTTTGCTAATCTGGTCACAGCACCTCAGAACTCCTGAAGAAGTTATAGTGTGTCTGAGTCATGCAGAGCTAAGCAGTGGTTTTAACTAAAACAAAGAGCTCTGATGTGTCAGAACCCTGATACTTCAACGTTTCTGCCTTCATCGCACAGAAACAGATTCTGTAAGGATGCTTCTCTATCTCATCTTATTATCTTCTTACTGTTAGCAACTCTGTTATGGGTCAAATGTCTCTGATCACAAATGGCAGACAGGAAACTAACAAGCTACTTTGCATTCTAAATCTTTTAATTAAAAAACTGATTAAATCAGTCACTCATGTGAAAAAAAAGTGATATGCAGAAATAATTAAACAAGATCCCTTTAATACTGTAAAATCCCCAGATCTACTCACAAGAAAAAGTAGAGTCCCCAGGATAAACCTGCACCCCACACATTTGGGGTTACTCCTTGATAAAGTCCTCGAAGTCCATCAACTTTCCAAATGGTAGTCAAGCAATGTAAAATTCCATTATATTTTGGTCTCACTTCCAGTCCATCACTCACTGCATTGAAGAATACACAGGTGAGAAGAGGTGTTGGCTCATGAATCATACATAGACACAGCACACAGTAAGATCTGTACAGGAATTAAGTTCACGAGAAAAACCTCAGCTAAAGAAATTTGTTTTAAATTAGTACATCCATCAACCTCCAAGGTATTCAGCCAGACCATACTAAAATCTCTAATATTTCAGAAAGTAGGCCTTAAATAACCCAAAACACTTATATGTTTGTTACAGATATTTATGAACTCAAATATGTGAAAATATTACTCAGGGTCTAGAGAAACTGCTCAGTGGTTTGCAGAGGACCTGGGTGTGACTCTCAGTACTCACATGGTAGCTCACAACTACCTGTTACTCCAGCTCCATGGGATCTGACACCCTCTTGTGAACTCTGTAGGCACCAGGCATGCAACCGCTACATACACATACATTCAGGCAAAAACACACATAAAATAAAAATAAAAATACTATTCAAGCAACAACCAAAGGAAACTAGTCAGCTGCTTCAAGCCTATCAAGAATGCCAGCAAGATCTGAGGGCAACAGGGAAGGGATCTGGAGGAAGGGCAGCCTTCTGATATTCTCTCTCTACCAACACACACACACACACACTCACCCCTCAGTCAGAACAGAAGTACCCAAAGTATTTCACTTGAACATTCTTTTCTAACTGTTCCTGTTCTACGGTCCCACAGCTCAACAAAAATAGCACAACTATCTACAGAAATGCTCGTGCCACCTGGGGTCCAGTCGCCACCCCTCTTCCTTTGCTTTTTATTAAGTAAAAAGCGAGTTCTTTTAATCTTTTTTCTTCTACCACATAAAACTCTCTTGGCTCTGTCTACATCTCAGAAAATGCTGCCATCTGTTCTTAAGCAGTAGTAGCATTTTGAAGTGTAGTGTCACTATGCCTGGCTAACTTTGGCATTTGTTTTTACTTTGTTTCTACAGGAAATGAAAACCACATTTGAAACAGGATAATTTGAGGGAAAGAAGAAAGCTTAACAGGACTGTGGGCAGGTTGTAGAAAAAAACGATATGAAACAATGCAGTACCAACAAGTGCTTTATGGTTTTAAGAAGTCACGTAATCCTGGGAGTGGAATATTAAGTATCTCAATAATAGGAAATATTTCATATCATCCATATGACACCAGATTATAAAACCACGTTCTACATTATAAAATTTCACAATACAAAATAACAACTTTATTTTATATCAGTTTGCATACTCCTTTCTTCTCCACTCTAGCATTTACAAGCATTTCTCCTTGCTATTAGATTTCCACAAATAAGATGCTAAAAAAAATCGTGGTTGTTGTCCATGTCATAGTCATTCTATCACTTCTTCATTCACTCTCCTCTGATATGTGAGTTCTCATCTTTTAATCCATGTTTTAGGCTTAGCAAGAAATGGGTTTCATCACAGAGCTTTTATATGTAGCTTGAGACAGGGTTCTGAAGTGGAAGTTTCTGGTTCCCTTGAAGACTCAGTTTTGTCATGTGATGTTTTTCTGCAAGCTGGCAACTTGATGTTTTGCTGGAGGTTGGCTTGTGAGAGAGCATGTGATGTTTTGCTATGAGCTCTCATGTGTGAGGGGTGCGACTTTAGCCAGCTGAGAACATCAGTGGGTGGACTCTGAGAAGAGGAGATACATAGAGGCCTTCACACAGTGAGACATCACTTTTTGGATCAACATTGCTGTACTGATTTTTCATTCTTTGACACTTGAATTTGCAGACAGAAACATTCCAGAGAACTCCTTGGGGCAATCAACTAGTCTTGCGGCTTTTGATGACTTGTCCTGATCTAAATGCTATTGCTGCTTCATGTTGGCCTTCAGACTGGACTGCTGGTATGGTGACCACTGAGTTTGGTAATCCCCTGAAAACCCATCAACCCTAATCAGCAGGTCTGTAGCCCATGTGGGGGGTGTGTGTGTGTGGAAAGAAGGTAAAGTTGTTCAAGAACCCTAAATAAAATAGGTTTGATGAAAAATCTAAGCCTGTAGGGTTTCTCTAAGGAGCCTAGCTGTCCTAGAATTCACAATGGGGACCAGGCTGGCCTGGAACTCACAGAGATATGACTGCTTCTGCCTCCAGAGTGCTGAGATTAAAGGTGTGCACCACCACCTCTTGGCCATTATACTGTTTTTATTTCATTCTTTTCTACCACTGCCCTCTTTTGTATGCCCTGTTCCTTCTGTTTGGTCTGCCCATCTTTTTATTACGAAAAAGTTCTCTAAAGAATATCCTTGGGACGGGAGAGATAGCCCAGCAGTTAAGAGCACTGGCTGCTCTTCCAGAGGACCTGAGTTCAATTCCCAGCATCCACATGGCAGCTCATAACTTTCTGTAACTCCAGTTCTGGGAGTTCCAGTTCTAACACCCATATACAGACATATGTGCATGCAAAACACCAATGGTTTTTGCTATGAAACAAACAAAAATTAAGAATATCCTATAAAGCAATTTGTGTGGATTCCTATTACTTCTTTATCATTAGCCGTTAGAAAAGGAACGATAGGGGTTAAAGGGCATACATGTAAATTTAAAATACATAGTGAAAAGTATCTCCCAAAAAGTCCACACATGAAAGTCTTTTACATGAAAGCATGCCCAGTTCTCTGTCCCCCATCTACTACTTTATAGGATGGGCCTGGCAAAGAAGAACGATTACTGTTTACCAGTGTCATGCAAAGGTGGAAAGGTTAGTTCCTTTCATCATTAACCTGTCAATATTACACTACGAAATGAGATTAAAGTGCACTGGGCTTTGTGAGAGGCCTGAGTTGGACATCTAATTTCCTCTACATGGTCTTATACTCTCTGAGCTTCAGCAACCTCCTTTGTAAAGGATATATTTTCATCTATGTCCTAAATTCTGTAAGATTTATACAAAATACAAACTTTCAGGTAGCAGGGTCATCTGCTTATGAGAAGTGTTTTGTAGCATACATGTTTTTGATGTATGCTTTGATGCCCCTTAGATTTTGCCCCTCTCATTCTGTACAGATTTTTTGTTCTGGACGTCTTTCCAGTTTTTGCTCAATAAGCTTGCAATTCAATTATGAGCCAAAAGGCAAAACAAACCACCCTGGGTATAAGCCAATGCTTGCTTTTCTGTTTTGAGAAGTTAATCTTAGTATTAACTGTGTGAATAATAGGTAAGAATGAATAGGCACTGGTCTTCAGAAAGCAAGAGAGATTTATAGCTAGAGAGGTTAACAGCAAATACAAAGAGGCTGCACCACACCTAGCAATTCTGAAAATTAGAGATCTGGGTGGCACAAAAGTTGGGCTGGTGGAGGAAGAAATATTAGTTTGGAAGGAAGGGTTGAGGTGGGGGCTGCTGAGGAGTGAACTGTATTATCTCCAAAGTTCATATAAAGCTGTAGTTCTCAATGTGACTACACCTGAAGATAGGGCCTTTATGGAGGAAATTAAGATTAAGAGGCTATTTGCAAGCCAAGGAATGGGTTCTCACTAGAAATCAACCTGACTAGCCCCTTAATCCTGGGGGCCCTTCTAGTCCCTAAATCCCCAAGAGAAAATAATCCTTTTTTTTTTGTTTTGTTTTGTTTTGTTTAAGCCAGACTGTATGTATTTTGTTACAGCTCACCTAACTAAAAAGTTTCTTAAAAAAACAACAAAAAAGTTTGGCTATGATCTCAAGGCATTATCTTTGTCAAATCTGTGTTCAATTGTCTAAAATAATCACATACATGTTTTGAGAAAGGAAATGGCTTCCTCCTTTCCTTTCCTAACTAAAAAGACAGAGAGAGAAATTTAATAGCTGTCCTACTAGTAACATAAAAAATTTGTTACAAACATACACATACACACACACACACACACACAAAAAAAAAAAAAGAATGAAAGAAAAAATTGTGGTGTCCTCAAGTAGAATCAATTTGAAGGCAGAGAAAACAAGAGATGAACACTGGAATGAGGGTCTCCTTAATGTCAAAGAGATAAATTTCATAAAAGCAGCGATCTCACATCACTGTAGTGGCCCAGTAGTAACACTGAAAGATGCCAGAAGACAGTAACTGAAGAAAAAAGTTGGTATATTGGAGGAGCCAAGAAAGAAGACATTAATTTTAAACTCATTTTGAAGACCGGCAACAAGTATACTGGCTTCAAAAGCTATGTCACCCTTCCACCCAGTACAAACTGTTTCACATGTTGGCTCTTAGTTTATTTGCACCCACTTTCCTTGGTCATCCCTATAATTTTCCTTAGGACCAACTTACAATACCTCCCTTCCCACTTGAAGCTCAACTAGTTCCTTCACCTTTTTCACGTAACATTTCTATTCTTTTTAAAACTGTCCGAACTGGAACTCCAGTTTACTTGGGAGTCAATGAACTGTTTGAACTTATAGCACATACATTCAGGACCAAACCTCCCTCCTCATTGCTAGACAGTAATTTTATTAAGTGGGCTTTAATATGAAAGCACAAAATCTAGGGATTACTCAGTACTGATGCCTACATCAGTTGGTTTTATGTGAACTCAGCACAACTAGAGTAATTTGGGAAGACCTCAATTGAGAAAATGCCTTCATCCAGATTGCCTGTAGGCAAGTTTGTGGGGCATTTTCTTGATAAATGGTGGGGGTGGGTCCAGCCCCAGGTTGTTGATGATTATTAATATTTAATATTGATTTATTGATTTTTTTTTAGTTAAACAGTGGTCATTCTTAAACCAGCTGTATATCCAAATCACCACAAAGACTAGGATTTATTTAATTAACCTAGACCACAATGCTGAGTAATAGTTACTCCATCCTAAACCTCCAAGCCCGCTTAGCTTCCTCCCATACAGATTTCCCACATTATACTTGCTTTTTTTAGTCATATCTTAAGTCTAGTTCATGTCTCCTGATGTTTCTAGGTCCTCTCCTCTCAGATCTCTCCTCCCACTCCTGATTCTTTCTCCTCCCCTCTGGACCAGGATGTCCCACCCTATTCTCTCCATTGCTCAGCATTGGCTGGTTGTTTTTATTGGCAATACAGAGAACAAAACGGTAGCAAGTCACAAACTTGAGACAGGTGATGCCTACAATAAGGATCACAATGCAGTGTCTGGACTGAAACCAGACAATGGGGGAGAGAAATCAGCATGTGAGTGAAGGGCAAATTGTACACATTCCACAAAAACATTACCAACACCTAAGTGTGGAGGTGAGGTTGCCAGCCCTCCATTCCACCCCCACCTCAAGTAGTCTCGAGTTGCAGAAAAAAGGAGGTGAACAGGCCATAAGAACAAGCCAGTAAGCAGCACTCCTCCACCGCCTCTGCATCAGCTCCTCTTTCAGGCTGCTGCCTTCTGTTTCTACCTGACTTCCCTGGATGATACACTATAAAGATGTAAAGAACAAACCTTTTGCTCCCAAAGTGCTTTTGGTCATGGTGTTTTATCACAGAAATAAAAACCTTAACTAAGAAAACAACTCAACTTTCTATTGTTTATCTTCCTAAATTTCTCTTTCCTATCACCATTCAGTCAAACTGCAGGCTTTACCAGTACACAGGTGGGAAGGACTTCAATTACTATCTAATCTTAATCCCTGATTCTGTCACTAACCTCCTTATCTGCCCTACAAGTTTCCAATACTCTTTTCACTTTAAGACAATGAGTCTTCTCAGGAACCAAGAATTTCCTTTCCGCCTGGTAAGCTTCGTAGCACTGTCAAAACCCAACTCTTCCAATCCTATTTCTTAATAGAAGTCCCAACAAATCCTCTTCTCCTAGAGGCTGTTCTGTGGAGGAGGGACACCAAGACACAGACCCACATCTCAAGAAATCCAAAACTATTCATGTTCAAGTCACTGTTAGCAGGAATTCACAGAGGTACTGTGGGGAGTGGTTAAATGCAGGATGGTTTTAGAGAGAAACTGCTGAGATTCAAATCTCAGATTGGTATTTACAATCTAGTGACTTGGGCAATTTAACTCCTACCATCTTCACCTGCATGAGGGGAATAATAAATTCCTAGTAATGACCAATGCAAGTTATTTTTCAACATCAATAACTACGATAACATTTATAAATGCACACTAAACTCCACAGAATTATGACTTTGTATTTTTCTTGGACACACTCCACAAGTATCACCTATTTTCTACCACAGAATGTATTCTTGTCTCATCTCTGGCTACCAAAATATTAGTCCTGTAGAGAACTTTAATATCCATGGAAACTTTAGAGATACAAAAGCCAAGCTGTATTTTTTAATATCTATTGTTATTTTATATTACGTATATGTGTCCCCATGTGGATGTGTGTGTATGAGTGCAGGTGCTAGCACAGGCCAGAGGTCACGAACTTCCTTGAAGCTGGAATTATAGACAGTTGTGAGCCACCTGCTCAAAGCAGGTACTAGGAACCCAACATGGGTTTTGTGGAAGTACACATCCATCTCTCTAATCCCAATTTTCTTTATATGTAGTCTATTTGTACTCTTATTTTGTATTTGGATTTATTCTGCTTCACTCTTGATTTTCTGTTGTGTAGAATTCTTGTACATAACTTATGATGATGATTTTTAAGTTCTCTGACAGCAAGAAACTGTTGGTATTCCTTAGGTTGCATAGCACTTGATATGTGTCATCAAATAGTAAGCACACATCAAGTAAACTTAAAAAAATTAGAATACTCTGAAGCCAATTCTAAAGATTTAATTTTCAAGGAAGAATTTAGATTGTAATAATTGAAATAACTGTAAGTGGTTTCTAAATAGTTACCAAAAATCACCTTTCAAACTCAACCTGGCATTAATTCCTAAAATGCTGCGTTAGTTTCCATATACTTAATTCACACTTAAATACAGTTATTTAGTGTGTAAAAGTTCCTCCTTCCTTCGCCGGACAATGCATATTATAAATACTCCGAACTAAAGAAACCTTCGAGGATATTTTTATTCCAAACTTAGTCCTTACCCTCCGTGGAGGACAATGCTTCAGAGCTTGCACTTTCGTTTGACTTTGTACAGCCAAACACGTGGCTGACCTAGGCCTTCAAATTACCCGCAAATGTGACTGACTCATGCTCGAGGGTCAATGTGCCAATCTCCTTTCCTCTCACTCTCCCTGGCCCTTAGGGGCACGGGGAAGGCCGGGACCCGCTTGCTAAACTATAGCGCCCGGTAACGCAGGGCACACAGCATCACCGTCGCGGTCCTCCTCAGCAGTACAGAGGCTGAGGAGACCGAGGTCTCCCTCGGATGTTCGGTGCCTCGCCAGGGCTGACAGCGACGGAAGCCGCCCGGGGCGTGGGCGGGCCCTTACCAGCGAAGCGGATCTTCACGAGGTCCAGCGGGTGCAGCGCCAGGTTGGACAAGACCCCGCCGCTCACGCCGGCCACCAGGTTCTCGTACCGGACGTGGCGGAACATGCCGCTCCACGCCGCCGACCCGGCCGCGGACTGGCCCTGGCCTGTCATGGGCTCGGGGCTCGTCGGCACTACGGCGCCGAGCGCTGCCGACGTGGGGCGAGATGTAGTGGCCGCCACCGTGGAGACTGTCGCGGCCCGGGGCCAGGAACCGCAGGAGTTGAGCCCACTTCCGGAACCGGAGCCCGGGAAGTCACTGCGGAGCCCTGAGACTCGCGGACAGAGCGGAGAGTGGGAGAACGAGCAGCGCCTAGCCGCCTGGCCCCGCCCCGCCCCGCCCCGCCCGCCTGGCCGCGCCCGCCTGGCCCCGCCTGGCCCCCTGGCCCCGCCCCTCCCGCCTGGCCCCGCCTCGCCCGCCTGCCGGCGCACTCGCCCTCAAGACCCGACTCCCCCGACTGCGGACGGACTGCCTTCTCCTGACCCCAGCCGGAGTGACTACGGAACGCCGCAGTGTCCAGCTGAGCCACCCGGCGTCTACACAGTAGAGCCACGTGACAGGAAGCAGCCTACGGAAGGCGGAAGTCGTGTGTCTGCGTGGAGGCCGGGTTAATCCGAACTCGGCCGAAGGCTCGTGGAGTTTGATATCCAGAGCCGCCGAGATGAAGGTGAAAATGCTGAGCCGGAACCCCGACAACTACGTCCGCGAAACCAAGCTGGACATACAAAGAGGTGAGACGAGCTGGAACCGAGGAAAGCGCGCCTTCCCGAGCTCCTCGGATCTGGCCAGCTTTCAGCGTAAAGGGGGCGGGAGGCCGACCCTCGTGGCTCGTGTTTTCCTTAGTTGCAGATGACAGCTCTTCAAGTTCTGTGGAAGAATTTTCCTCTCGAGCGGAGTAGTTAGTCTAGGAAGAGTGCTTCCCGTTTTCTACTTCTGTCAGCCCTTCTCTGTGTTCAGGTTTCTAGCTGTTGGAAAGTGGAGTTTGAGCATTCAAGTTTTTTTTTTTTTAAATTTTATTTTATGTATATTGGAGTGAAGGTTGTCAGATCCCTTGGAACTGGAGTTACAGACAGTTGTGAGCTGCCATGTTGGTGCTGGGAATTGAACCCGGGTTCTTTGGAAGAGCAGACTGTGCTCTTAACCACTGAGCCATCTCTCCAGCACCCAACATTCAAATTTTTAAAAAACTTAGCTGCGCTTTGGGCACTTTGCTACTTCAGATTATCTACTTCTGGATGTGGAAAGGAGAAAAGATGGGAAGAGATTCAAAGGACTCAGTTTTCTCATGACTGCTCTTGAGAGTTTGAGGAGAGAATGGTTAAGGTGAAGTTGGAGAGTTTTAGTTTTCTTTACTGCTCTGTTTCCCGTTAGCATGCCGACCCTTTATGAGTGAGTTTTTGGCAACAATCTTGTATGGACAGGCCATTCTAACTGAAGAGAATAGTAGATATAACTAAGGCACAGAAAAGAAGTATTATGTCTTTAGAGTGAATGAGAATAAGTGATAGTAACTCTTGGTAACTACAGGTTGTGTGTTTGTGTGTGTATGAACATTCCCAAGATGTGGTTTATGGTTCCTGCCCTAAGGTGCTTTAACAAGGTATTTCTTTAATACAAAATAGATTTGTGACTTGGATTTGATATTATTTTGAGTCTTTGAACATCATTGGGTCTTTCTTCACCTTTTTCACCAATCAAGTGCATTGCTGGTAGGTAGCTTGCATTGCCCTTGCCAATATGAGTGCAATTCAGGCTTTCTCTTTGAGCCATACACGTGGGAAGCTTTCTCTCAACCATAGTCTTTACGTACTTACACTCTGCACATGCCCCTTTGCATTGCAGTATCCTCTTCTGTGCGTCCGGTACATAGTTTTGAATTTCTGTCAGTCCTTATCACGTAGTCCTTATCACGTTGTCTCATGATTATATATTGGTTAGCAGGCTTTTCCATCAGACTGAGCTTGCAAAGAGGGGGAGAAGCATACTGTGTTTAGACAATGACTCACATAAATAGCTTCTTCATAAGTGTCTGAATGCATGAATAAGTGAAAGAATGGGTGGGTGACAGTCTGGACTTAGTGAATGCTAGGAGATACAGCCATTTTTGTTATTAACATCTTTTTTTCTCCCTATTTTTATATTATAAGGAAATGTTAAAATAGAATCAAAATGAAAAAATAGAACTTTTGGAGTACTATAAAATATAAAGCAAGAAACACATTTGTTACCATTTAGTGTCATTTTTTTGTAAATTTTGTGTAATGTGTAAATACCAGACTAAGTAGTTTTATATGAGTTACACAGTATTGTATCTAGTGTGTATGATATTCAGAAGGTGCTATATTAGTGCTAGTCATTTTGTTTGTCCTTGGCTAGGTGAATGAAGTTAGAAGTGGATACGATGATTGTGATTCAGAAGACTTACAGTGAATATTTTAAAGGGATGTATAAGGTTTGGTAGGTGTAGATGAAAGTTAAGTCTTAATGGAAGGGGTGTTATATAAAAGGAAATGCAAGGTAGTTTTAGGTGATAGGAAATAAACCTGTCTGAGCTGAGAGCTTCAGGAAGTACTTGAAGCAGATCAGACAGTGAGACCAGGCACCGAAGACCAGAAAGGAGTGTGAACTTAGTTCTGTACTTCTAAAAGTAGGTATTTAGACTATCCGTCACCATTAGAACATTTAGAACATTAATTAGAACATCAGTGTTTATTTCCTAGCTTAAAAAACAAGCTGAACTAGCCCTTTGGTTCAAGCCTTTAGTCCCAGCACAAGACCTTACCACCTCATTTCAGCTGTTTGCTGCATATCCTGGAAAGAGTAGGGTTGACAAGAGAGAACTTGCTTCTACGTTTAGAATAGTGTAGCATATTATAGTTTATATTTGTTGTGGGGTATAGTAATTTATAGACTGAAAGGAGAGACTGTAAAAATATTTGTTCTTGCTGAAGTACCTTGACTTTATTATGGCAAAGTTCTTAGGAGAACCTAACTGTGAACTAAATATTTTTGAAATTATCAAATTTTTCTATAGTTATGAATAACTAACATGCTTTCTTTTTAATTTTTTTAGGATTTTCATTTTTATTTTTCTTTATTAATTACACTTTATTCACTTTGCATATCCCCCCCCCCCCCGTGGTTCCCTCCCTCCTCCCGTCCCAATCCCTCCCTTCCTCCACCCTCTGCATGCATGCCCCTCCCCAAGTCCACTGATCGGGGAGGACTTCTTTTCCTTCCTTCTGATCCTAGTCAATTAGGTCTCATCAGGAGCAGCTACAGTGTCTTCTTCTGTGGCCTGGTAATGCTGTTTCCCCCTCAGGGGGAGGTAATTAAAGAGCAGGCCAATCAGTTCATGTCAGAGACAGTCCCTGTTCTTATTACAATGGAACCCACTTGGATACTGAACTGCCATGGGCTACATCTGTGCAGGGGTCTTAGGTTATCTCCATGCATAGACCTTGGTTGGAATAGCAGTCTCAGGAAAGACCCCTGTGCTCAGATTTTTTGATTCTGTTGCTCTCCTTGTGGAGTTCCTGTCCTCTCCAGATCTTACTCTTTCCCACTTCTTTTATAAGATTCCCTGCACTCTGCCCAAAGGTTGCCCATAAGTCTCAGCATCTGCATTGATAGTCTGCAGGACAGAGCTTTTCAGAGGTCCTCTATGTCAGGCTCCTAACTTGTTCCCTCTTTTCTTCTTCTTCTGATGTCCAGCCTCTTTGCCTTTCTGGATAGGAATTGAGCATTTTAGCAAGAGTCCTCCCTCTTAATTAGTTTCTTCAGGTGTACAGATTTTAGTAGGTTTATCCTATATTATATGTCTATATGAGTGAGTATATACCGTGTGCATCTTTCTGCTTCTGGGATACCTCACTCAGGATGATCTTTTCCAGATCCCACCATTTACCTGCAAATGTCATGATTTCCTTGTTTTTTTATTGCTGAGTAATATTCCATTGTGTAGATATACCACAATTTGTGCATCCATTCCTCCAATAAGGGACATCTGGGTTGTTTCCAGCTTCTGGCTATTACAAATAAGGCTGCTACAAACATGGTTGAGCAAATGTCCTTATTGTGTACTTGAGAATCTTTTGGGTATATGCCTAGGAGTGATATAGCTGGATCTTGAGGAAGCGCTATTCCTAGTTGTCTGAGAAAGCGCCAGATTGCTTTCCAGAGTGGTTGTACAAGTTTACATTCCCACCAGCAGTGGAAAGTATATAATCTATTCCAAGTCCTTTTCCTGTTTGTTTGTTTGTTTTGGGGCAGGACTTCCTGTAACCCTGGCTAGCCTGGAATTATCTATATAGACCTGACTGGCCTCGAACTTCTAGAGATCTACCAGCCTGTGCCTCTGGAGCACTGGGATTAAAGGTGTATAGTACCATTTTCAGCTTTTCCAAGTCCATTTTAATGATAAGTAAGGAAATTAGGTTTTGTCAAGTTTTTGTTTTGTTGTTTAAGTCTTGTGCTGTTCAGAGATTCTCTTGAAAATATGTGCTTGGAAATGTGTTCACTTTTAAAAACTCTTATACTGATCATGTTGTTTATAATGATGATGTATTTTGTCTACAAGAGAATACTTGGTAACAGCATGATCTACCTTCTTTTACCTATTAAAGTATCAGTTAATTGTAGGAACAGCTGTTGACATCAGATAGAGCAGTTCTAAACATATATCAAAAAAAGCTTTTGTAAACCTGATGGATATGACCAAAAAGTAAATGTACTAAATAAATATTGACAGCTCTAGAGAATTACCACAGAAAAATATGCCAGCAAGAGCTTGATTGCTATATGCCAGCATCTCGTTAACATGGCACTGTGGGAAATCAGTGAATCTTTGTTCACTAAAACCAGATGTTGAGAAACATGTTTGGAAGCCTTGAATATTTTCTCCTGAGGCTTAATTGGAAACAATCTTAATAAAAACTAAGCATCTTTAATACCTGCTTGTATTAAATATACCACCTCAAAAACTATCTTTACAATAAGACACACAATCTAAAAGTTTATTGACTACTGCAAGGAGCCTTTAAAAGATTTTGAATATGAGAAAGACAAGTGCTTGATTAACCTGATAGCAGTTTAAACTGTTGCCAATTCAAATAGGAGTGATGTAATAGTCCAGGTATAAGGTAATAGGGCAGACACTAAGTTAGCAGATGCAAGGATGACTGTTTCAGAGAGGATGAGTGTTTGAGCTTGAGGATTGGAGACTATGGAACATGGAATTCAGAAATGACCAAGGTTTAGTGCATGTTGGATATGATAATACCGTTCGTTAGTAGGGAGTCAGAAAACAAAGACAGCAGGGTGAAA